CTTACCAAGGCCTCCACATATAATAAGAGTATGTTTCGCCAAGCGACAGGTCACCCTAAAAGATGAACGCGCCTTTTGGTTATACCCCCTCCTTGGTCCCACATGGGGCAATGGCGCCTATGACCTTGCGGGGAGGAGGAGGAGGAGGAGGAGGAGGAGGAGGAGCCAGGAGGAGAAGGAGGAGGAGGAGGAGGAGGAGGAGGAGGAGGAGGAGCCAGGAGGAGCCAGGAGGAGCCAGTAGGAGCCAGGAGGAGCCAGGAGGAGCCGGGAGGAGCCGGGAGGCGGCAGCGAGGTCCTGGCCAAGTACCTCGAGCACTATGTGCGGAGGGCCCCGCGGGCCACGGGCCCGGGGCCGACCCCCGGGCGGCTGCGCGGCCTGGAGCTGGGGCGCCCTGGGCAGCGCCAACGAGAGGGGTGCGGCCGCCACACCCAGTACAGCGTTTCGTGGCCCCATGGGTAGCACCACCCAAGGCCCCAGTGGGAGGGACCACCTCCTCCTCTTTCTCCTCCTTCTCCTCCTCCTCCTCCTCCTCCTCCCACTCTCCTCCCCTCCCCCTCCTCCTCCTCCTCCTCCTCCTCCTCCTCCTCCTCCTCCTCCCCCTCCTCCTCCTCCTCCTCCTCCTCCTCCTCCTCCTCCTCCTTCCGTAGCCATTTTGGCTCAAGATGTCTGCTTTGCGCAAGCAGGGCATGGATACCGCTAGTCCGCGGCCAGTTTCCACCACGCGCGCCGCCCCTGCGCCCGCGCACCGCGCCCGCGGCTCATGGCGCCCTCAGCCTCTGGAGGGCGGCGAAGGAAGAAGAAACTCCCTAGTGATGCTCGGAGCAGTGTGGCTCGCCCTGCTGATGACGGCGCTGAGGCTCGTGATGGCCGCGCCGAAGAGCGGTCCCGTTCCAGCAGATGTGGCTCTGATGAAGAAGAGGATCCTGACATGGACCCCAGCGGTTGGGACGACCACGTCAAGGGCCTCATCGATGGCCACCTCCGCAGCACGTCCGTCTCCTTCAAGAATGAGATCACTGGAATGGTTGCCTCGACAGCATCTTCAGCAGCCTCGCAGGCCGTCGATCCCGTCATGGCCGCGATCCGCGCTGTGGAGGACGCCGTCAAGAGCGTTCCCGCCACCTGCCAGCAGAAGGTGGAGGCCTCGCTTCGTCCTGAGCTGGCTGCGATGGAGCGGCGGTTTCAGTCGCAGTTGGACGGACTCAGTGCCAGAGTTACCAGCCTGGACTCGCGCACAGATAAGATGCATGACGAGCTCGGGGACATGCGCAAGCAAATGCACGAACTTCGACAAGCCTTGGCACTCGCACATCGTGTTCCACCTCCACCAAAGCCGCCTGCCGTTGGATTTCAGAGGGAAGTGGACGCGACGGTGCTCAAGATTGTGGCCTCCACTATGGTCAAGCGCACGGACGTCCACGACTCCATCAAGGCTTGGCTTGACAAGTCAAAGATTGACGGATGGGAAGTTCAGGGAGAAGAGCAATATCGCCTGTTTACGTTGCAGTTCACAGGCCCTGTCGCCATCGCAGGTCGGCGTGCTGTTCAGGCGCTCGGAGCACTTCATCTTCCTGGCAAGGGTAACTGGATGCGCTTCCCCGTTCCTGCTGCATCAGGGGGATCCACGCAGCTGCACGTTGGTGCCGACAAGAACCCGTTCCAGATCAAGCGCGAGATTGCAGGGAAGAAGATCGCGGCCATCTTGCGGGAGAAGTACCCCGATGCCAAGCTGTTCTTTGATCGCCAGAATGGATGGATCTCTGAAAGCTGGAACCCGTTTCTTCGACTTGACCCACAGCCAGGACAGGCGGCGACCAAATGTTATTGGAACGATACCGCCCTCGCCGCGAGAGGTTGGACCAGGGACGAGATCAAGTCTGCCATCAACCACATCATCGCCCCCAACGGCGAGCCTGAATGGAGTCTCTAGCCACTACGACGCGCTCTTCCTCTCGAAGGTGGAAGGTGGGCAGTCGCCGAGGGCAGCACCAATCGCGTTCTGTACTTGGAATGCCAGGGCGTTCTTGCGGTGGCGCGGTGTTCAAGCCATGGCGAAGGCCACGTGCCTTCATCAAGCTGGGATCACGAATGCCACTTTCGCCATCCAAGAGGTGCACCAAACTTTGGCGGAGTTCCAGTTCGTCATGTCGCGGATTGCTCCTTCGTCCTCAGTCTTCTGTTCATTTGAGGCGGCGCGTGACGGCCATCGGCGAGGTGGCGTGGCGACAGTCGTTCCACTCGCGCAGGGTGTTGATGTCGTTGCTGATCCGCTCGATCTTATCCCTGTTCGAGTATTGCGCCTGGTTCCTCGACGTGGACCTGTTGAGCTTCGTCACTACAATGTTCACAATCACGGCCTGGAGCGAGGTGATGTGCTACCAGTCACGCAGAGCATCCAGGAAGACTATGCTAGGGCTGCGGCGGCTCCGTCCACAAGGATGGTAGTGGTTTGTGGGGACTTCAACTTTTCCACGCATGAGGCCCTGGACTCTACTGATCCTGCTCAAGCGCGAGATCTTCGTGTTACCAACAATGCGAGAACACATATGCAGCTTTGGCTCTCAGCGCTTGCGTCGTTCGTCGAGGTTGCCTCAGAGGACCCCACTCATTACTGCAGGGACTCCAGGACGGTGGCGCAGATTGATCGGGCATGGGTATCTGAACCTGGTTGGGTTGCTTGTCAAATTCAACACTCTGTTGCGGTTATCTCCACACCTGAAGAACTTTCCGATCGTGATGTCTCCGATCATGCTGCCGTCAGAGTTACCCTGTCCAACAGGCGGCAGCGCAAGAAGTACATCAAAACGGTACCCCCAGCCATCTACAAGTCCGTCGGCTTCTGCGAACGACTCGGGCGTCTTCTCGATTACGAACAGCACACTTTTTGTTCGCTTTCACCGCCGCGTCAGATGGAACGCTATAAGGAGTTAATCAATGTGACGGCCTTCGGCTCGCTTAATCAGCTGTTGGTCGGCGATCCTGGTTCTCTTGAGGCGCAGCGGATGCTCGCTCGACAGCTTGCTAGGGCTGTCTGGCGCAAAGACACACGGCTGGCCATACGAGTGTGCAACGCTTCGGAGACTGCGCGAGGCTGTATCGAGATCGTCGGCCCTCGAGTGCAGCTGGTCCAGCCGGCTGTCTTTTCGGCATGGGTCAACTCTGTTCATCTTGCGGCTGCTGATCATGAGCTTGAGGAGCTTCGGCATGCGGCGCTTCATGCTGCGGGGCGGGCTCGGCCCTCTGCTGGGGCCCTTGCTGCGAAGACTCGCAAGGCGCGCTTGTGGGCACCGTCTGGCAAGAGGCTAACACTTCGGGCCTTCTCCGTGGACAACTGCGCGCACACCGATGCGATGGCCAAGTTGGACGCGTTAGCAGCGCATTGGGCACCGATTTCTGCACAACCCGCTGTGCATCCCAGAGCCACGCAAGTTTACGTCGACAAGTTTGTGCAGCCTGGTTAATATGATGATATCCCACCTCCGACACGTTCGTTACTTGGTCGAGTTCTGCGACGGCTTGCACCGTCATGTTCTGCGCCTGGAGTTGATGGCCTTCCTTACTCGGCGTGGGCTGCGCACCCTGTGGGCGGTGACGTGTTGTGGAATGCCTGCATGTGGCTGATGGATGGACAATTTTTTTTTCAAACACAGGTGACATACTTCAGGCTTTTCTTCCCAAAGGTAGTCAGGTGGGTGATGACGATAGTAGGGGAGTCTTGCGTACACCTGATACGGTGAGGACACTCGGTCTGCGCAACACGGACATGAAGGTCATTTTGGCCACTTTCAACCAGGCCATTGCTCCTATCATCCAGATGACGACGTCGGCCACGCAGAGGGGCTTCATTGCTGGGCGGCAGTTTACCTCCAACGTCCTGGAGCTCGACATGATGGCGCGTGTGGCCTCGCTGCAGCCAGTGGTGCATGAGCGGAACCCCATGCTTGTCGCGCTCGATTTCGGCCAGGCGTTCCCGTCTTTGAGTCAAGAGTTTTTCTTCGCTGTCTTGAATCGTCTTCGCCTTCCGTGCGGTCTTCATGCTGCCATTCGCGGTCTGTATTCTGTCGTGACTGCCGTCGGCCGCGTTGATGGGATCACCAAGCCGCTCTTTCGTATCTTTTGTAAAATTATTCAAGGCTGTGCGCTCAGTGGTAGCCTGTTTGCAGCGGCAACTTCACCATTCTTGGAAGATATCAGACGTGGCCTTGAAGTCCCAGCCCGCGGTGTGTTTCGTGCCTGTGCTGACGATATCGGTGGCATTGTCCTTGATATGCTGGACCTCAAGTTCTTGGCTCGGGTGATGGCGGTGGCAGAGAAGTTGGCCAATCTTAAATTGAAACCGCCCAAGTGCGTCCTGGTGCCGCTTGCTGACGCTTTCTCCGAGACCATCCAGGCCAAGACGCAAGCCCTTCTTCAACAGCACGTTGCTGGGCGGGCGGCATTCAAAGTGGAGGCCAGTCTGTCGTACTTGGGTGTCTGGCTCGGGCCTGCTGCTGTACCTATGAGTTCTTGGACTGGGCCTCGGGCCAAATACAAGATGCGAGTTGGTGCGTTGGCTGCTTCGCCCGCGCCGCTGTCGCTGAATGCATTGAACTACGTGATCCGTGCAGTGCCGACGCTGAGCTATGTAGCGCAATTCTTCGCGCCCCCAGATGGCATCCGCAAGTTCGACATACACATACTGGTTCGCCTGCTTCGTTTCCCTGGCGGTGCCGTGCGACTTGTCGACGTCTTTGCGCTGAAGGGCTGGGGTGGGCCTAAGCTTCACAATCTTGTCGCGATGTCGGAGGCTGCGCTTATTCGCTCTGGGCTATCCACGCACCCTGAGCACCACGATTATCTGCGACTCTTTCGACGTGCGTCAGAGCGGCGGTTTGTTCATCGTCGGCTTGTTGACCTTACAGGCCGCCTCCCGCCTTCTTTCTGGATCATGCCGTCTATTGTGGAGACGTTGAACGCTGCTTGCTCATCGCCCTCCCCTTCGGCGGTGGCTGCTCGGGCGCTTCTGGCCGAACATCCTGAAGCGGCTAAAGGTGTCCAGCGTGTCGCGTACAACGCCAGCATGTCCGCCTTCTTGTCCAGGTTCAGCGCCCCTGGGAGGGAGCCATCGCCCTTAGTTGCTACCATCTCAAGACGGTGGGTCACATGATTTTCATATTTGGCGGTGCAGCTGGACCAGATTGATTGGCCTCGATTGCGCAAAAAGCTTCGCGGATACCCTATGGCATAGACCTCTTCGGCTTTGCGCGGCGACGTGGGGGGCTGGCTGACTTCCTCACGCATTTCGTCTCCTACCTGGCAAAGAAAGTGCATTTTCGGCTGCGAAGGTTGCCTTTATGAGCTCGGACATTACCTACAGTGCCGAGGTTTCGCCTGGGGCATTGCGATG